TAAAAGACACTTCTTTATTTTCTCTGCATGCTTGTCCTGGCTGTGATACGTGGTCCGTGCGTTGTGACTTCGTTCCAGTTGGAATTGGTAAAGTTCAGCTCCGGTTCAGCCCAGTACAAGAAAAAATAATGGTCTGACTATTTGGCTCCACTCCCCAAAGTAGCCCCACAATCCTCATTGGGCAGGATGGGCAGGGGGTGAAGCGACCAAGGGATCCTTGGCCCTCCTACCAAAGATGAGCTTCTGGGCTCACAGCAGATCTGGGATTCACAGACCCCCCCTGCCTTGGCTCCAGGAGATAATGCAAGAGCCTGGGGATAAAATAAATAGGGGCAATTGGGTGCAGCAGTTCATCCTCCTTCCTGAGTATCTGTAGAGCTGAGTGCTGGTGGAGGGAATTACAGAGTTCTTTTTAAGATTCAGATACTCAAATACCACCTAAGTACTGGTGCAAGCAGAGCTGAGGTGGCTTGACCTCACCAAATGCCCCAAGTGCTTCAGGATCATCAAGATGGACCTCAATAGACTCAATAGGGCTCACCATGCTGTGTGCTTGGGCTACAGCCAGCCCCACCAAAAGCACTGAGTCATCCCTTACAAGTCACAAGAAATCCTTTGTTTATTTATGGCCACTAATCCTCTCATTAAATCCTGCTTCAGCGAAAGTTTGCACCTTGTTACTGAGCTGAACTTTATTGACTCCCACTTCCAGCCCCTGGATCTCATCCAGCCTGTGCCTGGTGCTTCCCAGGAGGTGGCAGTCACTTCCTGAGATACAGGGGCAAAGCAGGGAAGTCAGTGGTGAGATCCTGTGGTCCCCTGAGCCAGGAGCTGCCAGAACCCAAACTGTCAAGCATCTGTCCCCCTGCCTGACCCCAGCGAAAATGTCCACCCCATCGCCGGACCAAGGGACTGGAAAACACCCAAGTGCCGGGCTCTGAGTACCCATGGGTGCGAATATTTTCTTCCCACCCAGTTGTCATGTCTGAAGGCTACATGCAGAAGCTGAGCTCTGCATGTGCTACTCTAGGGGGGTCTTTTGGTCACCGTGGTACCCAGGACCCTCCAGGCCCTTTGTCCCAAGGGGCTGTGCGGGGCAGAGCATCTCCAGGGCAGGGTGATGCACCAGGCTGTGGTGCTGGGATGAGAGAGGCAGGTGGGAGGCACCTGGGAGGGCTGGCAAAGTACAAGCTGAAGGGGTCTGATTGCTCCATAAACTCCAGGGATGGATGTGGGTGCCAAGGCAGCCCTGGCAGGGGAGCAACTGGGCTAGGGCTGGTGCCTCTATGGCTCCTGTGAGCTCCCAGCAGCCGATGCCATCAGGAGCTGCTCGGAGCAGGAGTTGGACTCACACAAGGAGCTAACAAGGATGGCCATTGCAGCCTCCATCCACATCCCATCCCTCACCCCACAAGCAGAGCCATCACTGATGCTGATGGCCCAGGATGCAGGGTGTATGTGCGATGGATATCATCTCAAACCACCTGGACATGTCAGGGTGCCCACAAAAATGAAAGCCTCATGCACATGCCTCCCTCTGTGGTCTTGCTTGGAACCTGCTGTCCATCGCAAGTGATGCCACCGGGCTCATGGGTGGCTGCATGGGCAACCCAGCAAGTCTCTGGGGCACACAAGATCACGGGACCCAGCATCCTGTGGCTCCTGAATGAAGAGCCTTAAGGGCTTCCCTCCACAGAATCATAGAATCACAGTCAACCAGGTTGGAAAAGACCCTTAATCTCATCAAGTCCAACCACTTTGCAGCACTGCCAAGGCCACTAACCCATGGCACTGAGGGCCTCGTCTACAAGGTATGTGAACACTTCCAGGGACAGTGATTCCACCACTGCCTTGCGCAGCATGTTCCAATGCCTGAGCACCCTCTAGGGAAGGAATTGCTCCTAATATCCAAAACAAGCATTGGTTTGCCCAGCAGCAGCATTAGTCCCACCCTGAAGGCTAGGGGTGCCCTGCACAAGCCCTGAGTAATGCAAGCACAACCACACATGCCAGGTGCACCGACTGCCACCCCACATCTTCCTCAGGGGTCCATCATGGCTGGGATGTGGGTCCGCAGGCAGGGGAGAAGGCAGACAACATTGCTAGAGCTGGCAGAGCCCAACCTGGAGATGCTTGGCCCCACAGAGGACGCAAACTCACCTCAGACCTGGTGTTTCCCATCACCTGTCCCAGCTGAGTGGCAGGTTCGAGGGCAAGAGACCTGCCTAAACTGCCTTTCCACCTCTGGTGAGTGTTAATGGGGACACCCCATCAGAGCGGTGACACTGGCCCAGCTCCAGGGTCCCAGCAAGACATGGCAATGCACCCCACACAGCCAGCACAGCCAGGGCACAGCCAGACCCGCTGCCCCCAGGTACGGGACAAAGCACCCCAAGAAACTGCACCATGGCAGCAGGATGGCACATGCCCGAGCAGGAGCAGGGCCACATGCCAGGATAAAGTCCAGCCTCAGCACTGGCACTGGCCACAGGGAAGCTCCAACCTGCCGCAACCTGCTGCCAGCCCTTGCAGGGGTCCACAATGCCCTGCCCTGCATCCTCAGGGGACGCTCCAAACCCAGGCTGGCCAGCGCTGGTTCCAAGCCAGCCCAAAGCTGCTGTGACATGGGGCGAAGCTGTTTGCACAGCTGTGCACTGAACGGCTGAGCCAGCCCGGGGAAGGTGATGTTTGGAAAAGCACCAGCTTACCTGGGACTGGGTATGTGCAAATTGAGGCTAGGGGAAGGCACGACCCAGGGGCAGCCTGATGGGCAGTGGAGCCCAGGCAGGGGGTTGCTGGCCGTGTATCCTGCCTCTATTTTATTATTCATTTGTGAATGAAGTTCGGACTTCAATTAGTGGTAGAAACCATCCTGGGAGTCTGAAAGCCATTACCAGAGGCCCAACCCAGCCGCCTGGTGGTCACCGCGATGTCAGAGAAGGGGATGCCCCGAAGCTCGGGGGGCCGGATCCTGAGTGCCTGCAGCTGCAGAGGGGACAAAGTGCCCATGAAGGTGGCAGGAGCTGTGCCACAGGCACCGTCCGGGAGTCCCCCGTGTGTCCTCGGCATGCGGGGAGGGTCCCTGCTTCCGCGAGTCCGACCCCCCGCCGCAGCCCCTCGCATCTCCCCTGCCGCCCCCCGAGCCATGCTCGCATGGCGCCGAGGGTGGCGCGGGGGCGCGCCGTGGTCCCGGCGGTGGTACGCGGAGGCGCGGGAGGAGGGCTCCCTCTCGAGGCCCCGGCTAGCACTGCCGGGCCCGGGGCAGCGCCCGCCCACACGGGGCCGTGGACCGGTCCCCGCGGGACTTGTGGCAGTGAAGCGGCAGCGGTAGGGGACAGCAGAGGAGCAGCAACGAGCTGCCCGAAGAGGTGGCGAGAGCCACCGGAGCGGCCTCGGCAGCCGCCGGCTCCTTCAGGTCACCCGTTTTCTTCCTGTCGTTGATGAGCCAGGTTTGGCTGCTTCACTCCTGGAAGAAGCCAAAAACCAAGTGATGGGTTATAGCAGCTGAGGGGAGTCCCCCACACCAGAGTTTGTCCCTCGTCCTCCACTATGAATATCAACGGTTGATTTAGCAGAAAAGTGACTCCCAATGTGGCAGAGACTCACCCAGCAGTGAGTGTGCGGCCTCCCATGGAGGCACTTCCAGCGGGCATGTTGTCTGCCCCACAGCTAACAAACGTCTCCTCTTAATCATCTGGATACAGCATGTTGTGAATTCTGGGCACCTAGATCAGGCATTCTACAGGATGACCCAGAGAAGATATCTTACCACTTCCTCATGCATCATGTTGGCACTCACTGACATTTCTTGTCCTCCTTCCCATGAGCAGAACTCAAACTTGATCTAACCAAGATGTTCCTCTGCCTTCCCAGCCCATGGTCCACACTGCTGTCCTCTGTCTGACCTTACATCTTCTCCCTGCGCAGGGGGCAGCACAGGACAAGCACCCACGGGAGCACCTTGGGAGGCTGGAGCTGGATAGATGCAGCAGGACATGAAGGACCAGTGGTGGGTGCCCTCCTCCCCAGGGGCTGGAAAGCTGCTCAGTGTCATGATGTCACCTTCACACATGGCGGGACAGGATTGTCCAAGTGGTGGCAGAAGAGCTCAGTCACCACTCAGCACCAGGTGAGGGTCTGAGAGAAGACACGGATGGGAGCACAGAGGTGACAGCACAGCACCAGGGAGCAGTGACCCTGCCCGGGACAGCAGTGACCCCCACCCATGACAGAGCAGCAGGACTTGAGCAACAGTGGGATGGGACAGGGCCAGATGACACTTCAGGGAGCAGGTGGTGGCCATGGCGCACTCGGTGCCATAATCACAAACACTCGATCATCCCCCAGTGCACTTGGTGATACCCCCAGGACACCAGCACATCCCCTGGTGCACTCAATCCACCTTGGGACACTCGGTGTTGTCACCCCTAGGGCACTGGTGCTGTCACCCCGGGGCACTGGTGCTGTCACCCCCGGGCACTGGTGCTGTCACCCCGGGGCACTGGTGCTGTCACCCCCGGGCACTGGTGCTGTCACCCCGGGGCACTGGTGCTGTCACCCCGGGGCACTCGGTGCTGTCACCCCGGGGCACTGGTGCTGTCACCCCCGGGCACTGGTGCTGTCACCCCCGGGCACTCGGTGCTGTCACCCCGGGGCACTGGTGCTGTCACCCCCGGGGCACTCGGTGCTGTCACCCCGGGCACTGGTGCTCTCACCCCGGGGCACTGGTGCTGTCACCCCGGGGCACTGGTGCTGTCACCCCCGGGGCACTGGTGCTGTCCCCCTTGGGACACTCTGCGGACCCCCTGCGCACTTGGTCGCGCCAGGTCCGCCGCTCCCTCTAACGGCCAAAGGGGCGCTGAGGGGCGTGGCCGGGGCGGGTACACGGAGCCAATAGAGAGCGGGGGGCGTATCCGGCACGGAAGAGGTTGCGGAAGCGGCGGGCGGGGCAGCGGAGCCAATGGTGTGCTGAGGGCGGGGTCAGGCGGCCAATGGGGCTCGCGGGGCGTGTGACGCGCGCGGGATGCGGCTGCCGGCGGCGGTGCGGGAGCGGGTGGCTGCGGTGCACGGCGGCGTGGGGCTGGCCGAGTGCTTGCGGCTGTACGACGGCTGGGCCGCCTGCTACGAGCAGGTACCGCGCCGGAGGGCCGGGAGGATGCTTCGCTCCGCTCCCCTCCCCTCCCCTCCCCGGCGCCTCTGACAGCCGTGTCCCGCAGGATGTGGCGGCTCTGGAGTACCGGGCGCCGCACCTGGCCGCCGCTTCGCTCGCCTTCGCCTTCCCCGCGCCGCCCGCAGAGGCGCGACTGCTCGACGTGGCCTGTGGCACCGGGCTTGTAGCGCGGGAGGTACCGGCCGGGATGGGGATGGGGAGGGCGGCGCGGCGATGGGAGATAACGGAGCCGTCTGTCACCGCAGCTCCACCGCCGCGGCTTCCGATGCCTGCACGGGGTGGACGGCAGCTCGGGGATGCTGGAGCGGGCGCGGAGCACGGGGCTCTACCAGGAGCTGCGGCAGTGCGTCCTGGGCAGGGAGCCCCTGCCTGCACCCGCAGGTAACGGGACGGCACCGGTGGGGACGGGCTGCCCCGGAGGGTCCCCCCGGTGATCCACGCTTGTCCCCCCAGAGCACTACGACGCCGTGACTGTTGTGGGGGCCCTGGGCGAGGGGCAGGTGCCGAGCGCGGCCGTGCCGGAGCTGTTGCGTGTCACCAAGCCGGGTGAGGGGGTGTCCCCCGTTGTCCTCTCCCCGCCGGGACCCCACGACAGGGACACGAGTCCCGGTGGATCCTGGTCCCCTGCTGGGTGCTGGCCCCCCTGCGCAGCCAGGACGTGCATCCAGGACGTGGCCTTGTCCCTGCGGCAGGGTACAGGCAGGAACTTGCAGTGGCACCCTGGTCCTGCCTGCTGGCAGGGGGACGCAGCAGGAGGCGGAGATGGCACTCCTGGGCACAGCAGCCTAGGCTCAGGCCTGGCGTCCTGCCTGTCCCCTGCCCGCAGGCCTGGCAGGGTCTCGCTGCCTCCCCGTGCTCCCCCTTTCCGAGGGGAGCCATACCCAGCAGGGAACACCCGGCGTCAGCGTCAGTCACCCGTCCCCTCTCTCTGCAGGAGGCTTTCTCTGCCTGACAACCAGGAGCAACCCCTCGAACCTGCGATACAAGGCAGAGCTGGAGGCGGTGCTGGAGGAGCTGGAGAGGCAGGGAGCCTGGCAGAAGGTGCTGGTGCAGGAGGTGGAGCGCTGGGAGAAGGCCACCTCCGAGGAGGAGAGCACCCAGGGCACCGGCTACATCTCCGGTGTGGTCTACGTCTATCGGAAATGCCCCGTGCCCCCCCTCGAGGAGGGTTGAGAGCCAACGGCCTCTGAGCTGGGGGTGAGCACTTGGCCCCTTGTGAAACCCAGTCCTGGAGCAGGGCAGCTGCTGTGGGGTGACAGCGGTTTTGGGGAGTCCCTGCATTTCCTTCCCTGGCTCCTTCCCCCGGAGGTCTGGGCCCTGGGGACCTTGCCTGCTTTTCAACATGGGGAGGGTCTCCTGGGCTCTGACATTCAGGTGCTGTCCCCCACACCATGATGTCTCACAGACCCACCTGGCTGTCCAGAACCATCTCCAGTTCGGGATGTCTTCTCCTACATGTCCACCTCTCAGCCCTCATGGTCAAAATCTGGATTCTTCTTAATCTTCCCCACCCCAGACCCCCGTGGTCTTTACCTGGGGACTGCTGGAGGAGGGTCCTGTGGTTTCCCATACTTGTACCCCCAGGAGTTAATCCAGCACCCAGGAGAACTCCACACCCAGACCAGGAGCTGCTGTGCCAAGACAACACCCAGCCAGAGAACTTTTCAAAGTGCCACAACGGCCTTTCATCCTACAGCAGTTGCTTAAGTTTCTCATTTTCCTACAGCTTTGTAGTTAATGATCTGGGTGGGAAATAAGGCTGTAAGGGACTTGAGGAGCCGCCCAGCATCTCCTGCCCAGCCTGTTTCCCAAGCCCCTCACCATGCTGCTTCCACTCTTCCTCCTCCACTGCTCCCTTGGGAAGATTTTTACCCAAATCTCTTGATGGGATATTTCTTTTTTCCCTTGTCTGTTCCTCCAGACCTGTTCTTGCTCGTCCGGTTCCCATGGCCCTGGGGAACAGGTTACTTCCTTCCCCTCACAAGCTCTTGTGCCTGTATCTATCCCCATCTCCCACCCAGAGCATCTCAACCTCCCAAACTCATGCTGCCCATGGCTCTTGTCATTCCTCCACATTGCCCACCCCACCCCGACCAGATCTTGGGGTCCCCTTCATGGGTAGCTGCCCTGCTTCCCTCTCCCCCCTCTTTGTCCCCAGCACTGTCCCCTGGGCAGCTGGGTGTTGTGGCTGTCCCCATCCCTGCACTTGGCTGTTTAATAAACCCCTTGTCTGCCACTGCACATTTTTCCTGGAGCAATGGGGCTGTGGGGAGGGCAGCCATGAGCCGGGGAGGCAGGGGTTGGCCTTTCCCTGAGGTCCCCTCCCAGTCTCCAAGGGCCAAAAGGATGGAGCTCTGGGAGCCTGGTGTCCCTCCATACCCCTTTTGGCTCTCAGCACCCTCTCCCTGCTTCAGTTTCCCTGCTGGGAGCATGCAGGGAGCGCTCTGCCTGACTGTTGTCATGTCCTCCCCGCATTGCACTGCTTCAGAACCAGCCCAGGCAGCCTCAGTGGCACCAAGATGTTTATTGCCCTTGGAAAGCACAGCCCCTGCAAGCCAGGGAAGGGCATCCATGGGAAGGACTGTGCTGGGGGTGCAGCAGCATGGGGATGGGTAGGAGGAGGCAGCGCATGGGCAGGGGCTGGGGTGTCTATGCAGGATGGGGATGGTGGTGCTGTCCCTTGGGCAGGTACCCAGGTGCGGTGGCTCACACATAGTCTTTCATGGCATAGCCCATCGGGGTGCAGGTTTTCACGGCTCTGTACTTCTTCTGGTAGGGGTCCTGCTGGGATGGGGGTCCTGCACAGCACAGGATGCCCCCACCAAAGAGCTGCAGGGCACTGGAAGCCCAGCCAATGTAGAGGGCAGCTCCCAACTCCCTCTTGAGGGCCTCAGGCACCATGGGGTTATAGAAGTTGCTGACAATGCTGTTGGCAGACCAGGAGATAGGGATGAGGAGCAGGATGCTGGCCAGGACAAAGGTGGCACCTGCCACCACAGAGATCTTGGTCTTGGTGTTCTTGTCATCCACGCAGCGGGTGCAGTCCGCTCCCGAGATGGAGGTGAGGAAGGCAAAGAAGGCCACGAATATGGAGGTGACCACCAAGGCGCGAGCCGCTTGCAGGTCGGAGGTGAGCTCCAGGAGGGAATCGTAGCCCTTGCACTGCAACTGCCCCGTGCTTTCATACACGCAGTTCATCCACAGCCCTTCCCAGAAGACCTGGGCCACCACGATGTTGGAGCCGATGAAAGCCGTCACCTTCCACATGGGCAGTGCGCAAGTGAGGATGGAGCCGAGCCAGCCCAGCACAGCCAGCATCAGCCCAGCCAACTGCATCGTCACCGTTGCCATCAGCACCTGTGGGGACAGCCACAGCCATCACTTGCATGGCCACAGTCAGGGGCTTCCCAAAGAGAGGGGGTGTCCTGCTGGGTGCATCCTGTACCCATCTGCATGGGAACAGCTGAAGACCAGCATGGGGATGTGTGTGGCATGAGGGATTGATGGCAGGCCATGTTGACCTGCCTGGGGACACCATGGCATGGGGAATTGCTGCAGGAAAGCATGAGGGATTGATGGCAGGTCATGTTGACCTGCCTGGGGACACCACGGCATGGGGCAGGATGGCATGAGGACACCATGGGATGTTGCTGCAGGTCAATATGAGGACACCTGTGGCAGTAAGCACTCAGGTCCTGAGGAGGCCAAGATGCAGGAGCCCCCATGTGTCATGGAGCCCACACAATATCCCCGCAGCTCAGGGCAGTCCTTTGCCATTGCCCCATCCCTGCCAGGACAAGTGCATGGCTGGTGTCAGGGAAGGGATGGCTTCCAGGGAGCGGAATGATGGGCTCATTGTGTCCATCCTGGCATGCTCTAACCCCATATCCTGTTATGCACAGCCCCTGCCCTGCTCCACCACTGGTGATTCAGCCTTCTTGGCCATGACAAGGACATGGTACATTACATAAAAGTAGACATTATGAAGAAGCTCTTCCCTGTGAGGGTGCTGAGGCGCTGGCACAGGGTGCCCAGAGAAGCTGTGCCTGCCCCATCCCTGGCAGTGTTCAAGGCCAGGTTGGACACAGGGACTTGGAGCAAGCTGCTCTGGTGGAAGGTGTCCCTGCCCGTGGCAGGGGTTGGAGCTGGATGAGCTTTAAGGTCCCTTCCTACCCAAACCAGTCTGTGGTTGTATGACTCTGTGAGCATCACGCTGGGGGCCACAGGCAGCCCCTGCCCTCACTGCAACACCATCTGCTCCCTGTTCAGGGGCAGGTTTTGCTTTGCCCTTGGCAGCCACGCTGCAGCACCCTTTGGACCTGGGATTTCCTCTCTGGGGTGCTGGAAATGGGTCAGAGGTCAGGCCTGCCTCTGAGCCTGGCTGTGGTGCTCAGCACTTTCAGCGATACCTGAATCCTTTATACCAGGAGCAGCACCAAGAGCCCCAGGAAGAGGCTGCAGAGCCGAGGGTCATGCAGGCATCACCCCTGTAAGAGGGGTGGCGCTATGGGAAGGGGGGATACATTGGACACAACAATAGCTCCAGCACAGTCACACGCAGGCACCGTGTACCGTGGCTCAGCCCAAATCTCTGTACAGTCCCACATGGAGCAGAGCCCAGTGCTGCCATGGGGCAAATTGCACCCTGCGCCCATGGGTGCTCGCACCCACACCTGGTGGCTGCAGCCAGCAGAGTTTTTATGACCCCCAAGCAGCAGTGGGGTATCGGCCGAGCCTGGCACACCCTCTGGCACGCATGGCAGGTTTCACCCTCCTTTCTCTGATCCCAGCTTCAGTTTCTCCCACATCTCCTTCCTTATTGCAGCACCGCTCCTTCCCCAGCGCCTTCCATCCCTTGGCATCCTGATGGATACCCAGGGACTTTGCCTCTGCTGGTCCACAAAAGCCCTTTTGGACCAAAACTAAAGTCACTCTCCCCAGGAAAGGGAGACCAGCCTCCAGGCAGGCCAGGGGGCCAGGATGACAGGAAGCCATCCCAGGCATCCTTCCCCAGCCAGCAGGACCCTGGACCACAAGAGACACCCAAAATGGGGTTCATGCCTGCCTGCAGCAGCAGGTCAAGCACTGTCCCTCTGGGTCCTGGCAGGGATGCTCGCAGGAGCATCACACTGACATTTCCACCCAGCCACCAGCACCATTCCCATTCCAGGGATGGGGAAGCTGGGAGTCCTCTAGCTCCCGCACCCAGATGAGATGCCCAGAGCCAGGCAGCCAACATCGCCCCACATCCCAACATGCCCCAGTGCAGAAGGAAGATGTTCCCAAGCCTGCACCCCAGCACAGCTTGCCATGCTGGAAGTGAGATAAGCAAAACAGTCAGCGTTGCCCACGCCGGCCCCGGGGTGCTCCCAGCCAGGGCTGTTGGATGGCCCAAGGGCCAGTGCTTCCCAATCCACCCTCACCAGCACCCATCACCTTCCTGCTCGGCGGGAGGATCCTGCTGGGACAAGCATGTGTCAGCCGCAACCGGCACCACCACAGCATTGTGCTGCAGAGGCACCCATTGACGTGAGGAGGGGAGCAGTGGGTGATGGCAGGGCTGGAGCAGGGGTCAGCACTGTGGGAGGCTCCAGGGAGCGGATTTGGGGATCTCAGAGGGATGGGGATCTGTGTCACTGTCACCAAGGCGGGTTTGGAGAGGGTAAAGAAAACGAAGCACAGTGAGGTCTGAGGAGCTACCGTTTAATGTGGGAAGGGATGGAGGGCAGCAGGGACGGGGAGCACCATGAGCCACCCACGCCTGGCCCGAGCACCCCACTTGGGGAATGCCAAGCGGGACCAAGGGGCTGGGTGCACCCCACAGGACTGGGCTGGGGAGTCTTCCCACTCTGTGCGGGTGCAAAGCCCTGCTCCACTCCCTGACTGGTTCTCCCAGCCCAGCCACTGCCTTCCCACTCCCAGGATAATAATGCTCCCACCCCAGGGAGCTGCTGCGAGAATCCCATCAGTAGAGCCACTGCAAGCCCTAAAAGTAGGTCAGTCACGACGCAGGGTACTGGCAGGAGAGAGCCCCTGCTGCCCCTCAAAACCCTGCCGGGGTTTGCAGAGCCGCCATGTCCCCATGACCACTGGGACAGGTTTCGTCCCACCATCACCGCCACCCCACCACGAGGGACGCATCCCAGGGGAGGTTTTACCCATTGAGAGTCCTGTGCCACCTGCAGGACTGGCCCCGGGAGCTGCGTCACCACGCGGCACACCCCGATACCGGGAGATGCTCCAGGGAGGGGATCGGGTGATGCCTTGGAGAAGATGCCGCGCTGGGCGCTGTGTGGGGAGTGGGACCCCCACCGGGGTGGGCAACCAGGGCAGAATCTCCTTGTTCCCCGACTCAACTGAGATTAAAGAACCAGCTTCAATCCCCCGTGGAACAAAGGCAGCTCTGTCTGCCCGTCCTCACAGCGGCGCGGCTCCCCGCCAGTCCCCAGCCCGGCCAGGAGGGTCCCAGCTCCCTGGTGCAACTCGGCGGGTCCAGGCAGGCGCAGCAGCTCCTAGACATAGTTGCTGGTTGGCAGCGAGCGGGCGGCTGTAAACTTGGCAGAGTAGGGCTTCTCTCCACGGGGCGGGCAGGAGCAGCAGAGGACCCCCCCACTCAGCAGCAGCAGTGCGGAGGCTGCCCAGCCCACGTAGAGGGACGACCCCAGGTCCCGCTTCTGTGAGTTGGTGACCAGTGGGTTGTAGAAGTCCTGGATGATGCTGTTGGCTGACCAAGAGATGGGGATGAGGATGAGGATGCCGGATATGATGAATATGATGCCAGAGAGGACCATGACCCTGGCTTTGGCGGTGTCGTCCTCCACGCAGTTGGTGCACTTGCCACCGGTGATGGCGAGCAGGGTGCCCAGTATGGCCAAGATGATAGACACCACCACCATGGCACGGGCGGCTTGCAGGTCCTGCGGCAGCGCCAGCATGGAGTCATAGACCTTGCACTGCATCTGTCCCGTGCTCTGCACCACGCAGCTCATCCACAGCCCTTCCCAGATGATCTGGGCTACCACAATGTTGTTGCCGATGAAGGCTGTCTCCCGCCACATGGGCAGCGCACAGCAGAGGATGGAGGCCAACCAGCCGATGACGGAGAGGGCAATGCCCAGCACCTGCAGCCCCATGGAGGCCATCACTTGCTGCCTGCACCACTGGCCGCCTCCCACAGCGCAGTGCCGGCTGTGGGACCACGGCAGGTATTATATGCCTTTGCCGAGGGAGGAGCACCACCACTGCCGCCGTCCTGCCGCCGGCACCGGACAGAGGGGTAAAACCAGTTTCCCAGGATTCCTCTACTTGCATTTCTCCCTGCAGCAATGACACTTAATATCCCGGCTGCTCTGGCGGAGGAGGATGCCAGGGACTGGGATCAGGCCACCCAGGCAGGGGAACATGTCCCACTGCTGCCCACGGGTGGGCAGGAGATGCCAAGGGCAGCCACCAGGGCTCAGCCTGGGATGCTGAAGGAGAAACGCTGGTGTCCAGGCACCAGGATGTCTCTGACATCACTGCCAGCCCCTCCTGCCCCATCACTTGGATAGGGTCTCTTCATGCTTTTGTGCCTCAGTTTCCTCCCAGCTCATGGGGCAGCTGCTCCAGCAGCAATCCCATCTCTGGCCCCCCATAGCCCCGTGCCAGGGAGCAGCACGCTGTCGAGGCCCCACTGCCGGGCTCCATGCCCAGGCAGGACACAAGCAGCTCTTGTTTGTTGCTTGGCGCCTGCACCAGTGCTTCCCAGCCCTCCGTCAGGCCTCGGGCAGGAGGTGTCACCACCCAGACCCACAAACCGGTTGGAGCAGCTGCCAGCTTCCCGCAGAGGAGAGGCAGCGCTGTCCTGGGCCATGGGGGGCCAGACCCCAGAACACATCCCACCTCGTGCTGCGCTGCCCAGCCGGCGTTCACACACCCACGGTGGCAGGGCTGCAGCACCCCCCTGCCTGCGCTGCCTGGGCTGCCAGCCAGCCATAAGGGTCAGGCCTGCAGGGGACAGAGGTGGCTTTAAGGTGGAATGGTCTGGTTTGGAAGGGACCTTAAATCTCATCCAGCTACAACCCCCTGCCATGGGCAGGGACATCTTCCAATAGAGCAGCTTGCTCCAAGCCCCTGTGTCCAACCTGCCCCTGAACACTGCCAGGGATGGGGCACCCAGTTGTGTTGGTACATTTGGGTACAACCAGCCATACCCGCTGGCTAGGTTGTGCTGATGTTTCACCAGCCCAGCTTAACCCTGGGCCTCTGGAAAAGATAAGAGGGCCTGAGATTATCTCGGTTTACCTGAGCACTGGCGTTACTGATAGGATCCACTTGCTGTGCTATTTGCAGCTGCTGCTGCTCACACCAGGATGTCCCTGGGCAATGTGCCCCAGCGGGATGAGCCAGGTGGTCCATGCACTGCAGTGCTGTGAGGATGCCAGTGCCCAGCGCAGTGGGAGCAGGCACAGCATAGCTCAGGCACTCGGGGACACTCGGGTCTCACTGCAGACCCTGACTCATGGGGACGAGGCAGCATCCTGCCTGACCTGTGCTGAAGCAGCCACCCAGGCACCAGGCCACACTGGGATGCTCCATCCATCTGTCCTTCTGGAGCACCTGCATTGCTTGCATTCCAGCATTCTCACCCCAGGGCCGGAGCCTCGTGGTCAAGGGCTCCTTTTAATATGCAGGCTCCAGAGCACTCCTGTCAGGGCCTGAGGCTGAGCATGGCTTTCACCTCCCAGCACTGCCATAACCACCACATTATTTTGGGCTGAAGAGGCACGGGCCCTCGTGTATGTGCAGCGTGCATGGGCCATGTCCCCACAGGCACATGGGGACATGCCTCTGGGCTGGGGACAAATAGCAAGGTGGGGACAGGGACTTCCCCGCATGCAGGGCATCAAAGGTCTGAGCTGCTCCTGCTCCCCCTCAGAGCCAGGGCAGGCGCCAGCAGGGCCCTTCAACATCCCATTACTGTAATTAAAGCCAGAACGTGACATATATTCAAACTGGCGTCTGCCACCCAGAAACAGTCCCCATTCCTTTCCCCACGTCCCCTGGTGATGCACTCACCAGGCAGCACAGCCAGCCCCACATCACCAGCAGGACAGATGGACGCAGGCCTGGAGGGGGACAGAGGCAACAGCCAACCCTTGGGGCAGCATCCCATCCCAGCACCAGCACCTTGTTCCCAGCACCCACTGAACCAGAGGATGCAGCACTGGTGGCACCAGGCACCACAGAGCCATTGGGGCCATCACTGCATGGGCACCAGCCCCACAGCCCCATCCCGGCTGCTCGTGCCTGGTGCATCATGCAGGACATTCACCCCAGCTTTGTCCAGCGGCACCTGCAAGGAGACACGGCACAGGCACGTGTTCTGATGGACTACAGCCGCCTGCTCAGAAGGGATCTCCTACACCCCAGAACGGAGTGCTCATCCCATACCAAGCCTTTGCTACACAGGGCCTACCCCAGCACCCATCTGGATGCCCACCCTGCCCCAAATCCAGCAGGATTTGTAGGATGAAGGAGTTCTGAGCTCCCATCCCTGCTCCACTGCACACTAATGGGTTTAGCGACAACAGAGTTCCTGTCATGGCACATCGGCCACCAGCCCTTTGTGGCCAAGAAACGCCTTCCACTGATGGGCTCTGCTTCACTGGGATGGGGACATGCTGCAGCCCCATGGCTGGGCAGGGAGGCCATCCCCAGCCAGGGAGGTGGCATTAAACCCAGCATCACTGGGAGCACAGCAGAGGCTGCACCACCCTCATCTTGCTCAGGGCAGAGGATGCCCCACAGGGAGAGGGTTCTGGGGCACAAATCCTCTGCCAATAGGCTTGGGGACATCCCCACCCAGGACGCAGGGGACATTCCCACCTCACCTATGCACAGCTCTGGCTCAGACCTGTGCTTTGCCGAGAGCCACTCACTCCCCAGCACGCACGCATGGATTCTCTGCCCCGGCTACCTTGAGGTCCCGAAAAGGCAGTTGACGCTCACCAGCAGCAATCCGCCAGGATCTTGGGCTTCACATGGGCCGAGTGAGGCACGGCCACCACCCCTCCCCCTCTGCCAGCAGCTGGGGATTATTTACCTGCAGCCCAGAGACTCAATGTTCCCAAAAAATAGTCCTTGCCAAACATAACCCCCCTGACCAGCTCAAATCTGTGGAGTCAGGTTGTTTCCCACTATGGGAAAGCAAAGTCTTATCAGCGGGGCAGGAGAGGAGCTGTGCAGCAGGAGCTGTGGGGTCCCTGGGAGGATGCTGCTGCAAGAGACGGGACCTTCAACCTGAAGTCACTTCGAAAATCAGAGCCCAGCCCAATTTGCTGAGCAACAAGTGGCTCTGAATGGCAAAAAAATACACCCGAGTGCTGCCACAGTGGTTGTCAAAGGGATGGGGGGGACAATGGCCGTGGCTCAGGACAGGGGATGCGAGCAGTGCCATGGGGGTTCCCCTGCAGGCGATGCTCGGAAGAAGCGCGATGCTGTGGCAATGATCCGAAGCCATAGGGGTGGAGAGGCCCCCGGCACACTGAGGTTCCAGGTAACCCAGCATATCATGGGCTAGAAGCCACCCCCCTGCCACATCCCGCCGGATCACAGCCCCCACAACCCTCAGCTCCATCCCCACCGTGCCAGCAGACAGAGACACCATTGATGGTTGGAGTCGCCTTACCTGCTCCTCGCTGCCGCCAAAGGGGCTTCAACAATGGGCTGCTTGTGTGCCCTGGCTGGGGCAGAGCCAGCAGCCGCCCCACGCCTGAAATATAAGCAGCCAAGGCAGCACTTACCGCCCCTGCCCTGCTCCCCAGGGGCAACACGCCGTCACTGCCCAGACCACAGGGGAGTGGGAACACCCCAAACCCTGTGCGGATTCTGGGTGCACGTGAGCAGGACGCAGCCCCACAGTGCCCGGGGCAGTTTCTGCTGTCACCTCCAGCTCACGCTGGGGTGCTGGGTACACGGTGGGGACAGGGGGGTGCCTGCACTGAGGTGTCTTCCCCCGTCAGTGCCTGTGTCCTTCCCACAGCACAGGTCCACCAAACCAGTGATGCTCCTGTGATCCTTGGGTCTGAGCTTCATCCAAGGTCACCACATCATGAGGGTCAAACCTGTTCTCATGCAGTCACCCCACCTTGTCCCCATGCTGGGGGACCTGCTGCGGGTGAAACTCCCCACCCCCTCCCAGCTGTGGGAGAAAAGCAGAGGGGCTTCACTGGGGTGGGGGATACTGCAGCAGGAGGGATGGGGATGCTCCAGGACCCCTGCAGGGATGCTGGCCTCGATCCACTGCTGTCAGTAAAAACCGGCAGGCAGGTTTCCTAGCCACAAGAATGCAAGCTAAAGCGTGCCGGTGCCGGCACCCCGAAAGAGGGTGATTTGCCCCTTCCTCAGCTGTGAGTCAGGTGACAGCCACTGCCCCAGGCAGATGCAGTCTGTAGTTTGGGCAATTTGGGATGCCAGAGCCAGGACGCGGCGTGTGGGGCTCTGATTGCAGGGTAGGGGGCTGCCCGCCCTTTCTCATCCCATCCCTGCGCAAGTAGCCCCTACCCCAGGGGTATCCCCACTGCCCCATGCACCTGCCTGTGGTATTCCCCTCTTCCCCTGCTCCACAGCAGTACCCACCGGTATTGCCCCCTGCCCCACAGCCCTGTCTGGGGTATCCCATTGCCCCACAGCCCTACCTGCAGTATGCCCCCCTACCACACACTCCTGCCTGGGGTATCCCCATTGCCCCCCAACCCTGCAGCCGTGCATGTCCATGCAGCGGTTGGGGACATGTGCTGGTGTACTGTGTGCGCACCATGGGGTGCGCGTGTGTACACTCGTACCGCCGCCGTGCGCCTGTTCACCTGTCTGTGTGTCTGTGTGTTGAGGTGTCCCCGCCGGCAGAGGGTGTGTGTGTGTGTGTGTGTGTTGTGTGTGTGTGTGTGTGTGTGTGTGTGTGTGTGTGGTTGGGGGGGGGGGGGGTTGCACCTGCGCACAACTCGCACCCTGGGGCTGCTGCCCACACTCCTGCCTGCAGACCTGGCAGCCCTCGGCCACTTCAGACCACACTCAGTTTTGGGGGTGATGGAGCTGATATACCCACCATCACCTTCTGGCAGCACCAGCATCATGGGCACCCCAAGGTGCCCCCCAAGGGCCAGGACCCCCAGCATGCCCCCAGTAACAAGGGCACAAGGCCCTTGGGTGCTGCTTGCATGGGCTCTACTTCAGCAGCACATATGGGTACCCCCACAGCCACCAGCCCTGGCTGGCTGGGGTGGGACTTCAGGTGCCCTTGGAAGGTGATCAGGGTACAAACAGGTGGCAGAAGCCCACCTGGCCAGACAAAGGATGGTTTTGGGTTGCCATGGGGTGGCAGAGGCTAACCTGACTGGACATGGAATCACAGGATGGTGTAAGTCAGATACTGGTGTAAGTCAGATACAGGTTTTTGGAAGGGGATGAATACAGGGTGCTCGGGTAACATGGGGTGACAACAGCTGACCCAGCCAGATATGGGATT